ATATAGGCCCAATCTCAAATCTTTTAATCCATGCAATAGTTAGGAGATTCCATATCAGTTATATGGATGTGCCATACAGCAATACTGTGCCAGAGCCATGCTTCATCACGAATGAGCCAGCTCGACCGGAGTGATACCACGGACTCACAGAAAACCGACGTGAAACAACGCTTGCGTTGTGTTTCGTCGTGTGAGTGAGGTTAGCAGATGTCCAATTACAATTATCCCCAGTTTTTCCAATCCCCAGATCCCATACAATCCTCAAATTCCCAATTTCCAAAAGGCTGGTAACGCACTTGTAATGCTTTGGTATTTCAGGTGTCCATGGGCGGCGCCGATGGCTTACCATCAGGTGATCGGTCTGGTTCACCGGCTTATCCCATAAAAAACATGTAATACCACTAATAGTATCCACTATTGAAGAGGACTGGTCGAGCTTAGTTTTATAAGTAGACAGCCATTACAGTCTGGAAATTGAACCTGAAACGTCTATAGCTTAGCAATCCCCAATGCAACTCCTCAACTAAGGAGATATTCAACACTACAGCAGATGAACATCAAGTCATCATCTTTGTAGACGGTCTTTAACTTTGTACCTCCATAGGCGTAATATGGTATATCTAAATGATCTATTTCGACTGCCTCGTTGGCCGGGTGGTCGCAAGTGCGACTGCCGGACAAGGGGTCTCGGGTTCGATTCCCGGGTCGGGCAAAGTAATACTGGATTTTTAAAAAAACTCATTAGTAACACGGAGTCTTGAATTGTACCCGGTGTATGGCAATAGGTTCACCCCCTATTATATGGGACTCATAACATAAATAGTGAAAAGTGGGTATTACATTGTACAGTGGCATAATGTACACCTCTGTCTACCCCTTCGGAAATAAAAGGCGTGATGTTATGTTATATTATATTTCGACTGTCAAATTAACTAACAAACATATTGTCCGTTTGTCCGTCGCATGCGTATGCGCAATATACACCGGAAAGGATAGGGTGCTCTATATTTAGAAACCAATTCGTCAAGGGGCTAACGTCAGAGTTATGACAAATAAGATCATTATTATCCATATAAATGCTGTTGATACAATTGAAATAGATGTCAGGTTCGATTCTCGGTTCGGATAATGTTAAAGATAATTTTTGAAAGATACAAATCACTATATTCGGTACGATAATCGAACCCACGACACGTGGTTCTACCACTGCGCTAGCCGTTCAATTTTCTATAGCAGCGCAGTATCGAGAACAGCATTCAATGTTTGTCGTAAAATTTCAAAGATCAAAGAAAACCTGTTCCTTACCCCCAGCCAGCCCCCATGATACCGACCCGAGAATCGAACGCGGGACCCCTTGCTCGAGCAACAATGCACTAAATACTATAACACTAAGTAATCATAACTTCAAACTACAAAGCTAATAGTATATCAACCTCAAATTCTACCTCTAAATAACTACATTTTTCCCAATTCACTCATTTAGATATTTGCACCATTAAATTAAATTAATAAATGAGAGGGTAGACAGAGGTGCACATTACGATACTTACCTACCACGTAACACCCACTTTTCACTATTTATGTTATGAGTCCCATGTAGGTAATAGGGGATGAGACAATTTATTTTATGCGTCTCATGTAATGCCTATTGCCATATACCGGGCACAATTCCAGACTCAGTGCTACTACTGAGAGTTTCTAAAAAAACCCAGTAATACATTGCCCGACCCCGAATCGAACCCGACACCCCATGCCCGGCAGTCGCACTTGCAACCCTTCGACCAACGAGGCAGTCAGTAATAAATGACACTCAAGTACAAATGAATACTCATTCCATTCCCGTTCAATTCACTCACTTAAATATATCACTTGTATCAAAACCAGTAATTTATTGGCAACACTGTGGACATAATATGATATGGATTAATTAATCGTTCGGCGATTGGCTGCTGTAAAATGTGAAGCGGTTTCGATGTCTGCGTAAAGCTTTTTGGGTCTTATTAGGTAATTGTTGTTTCTGAATCTGAGTGTAATGAGTATAATGTTTGTAAGATACGAAAGATAATCTTAGAGTACATATGTATGTATACAAAAACTATTAGGTACAACTCAAATAAGAGCTTTATAATTGATTTCTTTGATTATTTACTTCGTTTTAAAACCACACAAAAATGTAATAAAGCGGATGTGTCTTCTAAAATTATATTGTTAATAAATATATGAATAGAGATCCGCTTTTGACTACTAATCTTAGTTTTAGAGGATTTATTAACAAAAGCCTTATTTAGCCATGGATGCCCACCAACTGATAACATAATAATGTTCCATTTTTGTACAAACGTGACGGTAATACTAAACTTAAGCACATTTGCGTTATCTTAATAGGAAGGCGAAAGATGCAAATATAGATAAAAAACATCAACATTATATTCGCTCGAATCCCGCTTAAAATCTTTGAAGCAAAACGTATTCATTCATTCGTTCATTTTGTTTTAAATACCTCATTCAAACACGTCCAATAAACGAACGTTTAAATTCAATTTAAAAAATAAAATATTCGATTTTCAAATCCCGAGACGGAACGAACGCAAGCGACCCCGAAATTGCTGGCCGCATTCACCCAGACAAAAGCCCTAAAATACACCCCGCGAGCAAAAAGAAAAGCATTTCCATCCCTACCCCTCCTTCATTTAAATTTCCCGCCCCAGAGCGGGGGCGGCGACTGTAGGGGCGGCTTCCGTACAACAGAGACGAAACTTAAAATCTCATAGAAAAGAATGAGACGGTCGTATGTCCACCTGTTGCGTTTCGAGTTTCATATTTTCGCGGCGGATTCTTTTTTCGTTTCTTACCGCGTTCCAAAGGATTTGAATGGCGCGCCCGTGCATGCGTACTAGGCTTAGGTATTGAACGATATTGACGTACGACGCCCGACGTTCTACGTACGATTTTTAAATCTTTTCATTCGGTCATTCGAGATTCAAATAAATTCTTCGCCGAGAGATTACTGTGTATGAATATTTTTCTTTTTTTTTTGCGAAATTGCGATTGCGAAACTGCGATTTATGCTTGCTTTAGTTGTGGATATTTTTTGATTAACTTTTTTAAATGTATTGTAAAGAACTATTGTATTGTATTTCATACAATAAAAAGCCATAGATTTAAGATTTCAGTACAAGTTTTAGATATGACACCTGTCAACATGTCAAGTTTTAGTCAAAGCTCTTGTCCAAAATAATTGGCATACTTTTGCTCATAAAGGGGTTGACAGACGATAGGGGTGTATTGGGTGTAAGCAGAGATTTTATAAGGGTGAGCTTATTGCCATATACCGGACACAAATCCGAAATGTAATGTTTTAATCAAGTTATATGTAGTAATATAATTAACGAAGAAGAAAAAAACAAATGGTTCATCTAAAATAAGATATGAATGTATAATTAAAATGAAAATAATTTCTTCCAGTATACAGTGCGGTCCGAAAGCAGGATGCAGTCAGAAATAAAAACTGTTTGTGTTACCGTTTCCGGCGCGTCCCGGGTTCGATTCCAGCTGAACACGTGGTGTGGTTATTACGAGGAAATTATTCAATAAAAATAGTATCACAGACATTAGCTACGTTTTGGAAGACCATTACTATGTTTGTTAGTAGAAGAACGTGTAAATATACGTGGTTTTGTATTATTACTCGTACATACATACATACAAGTCCATATTTAAGTATAGTTTGTGATTCAGGGGTTTTGTAGGCTTTTTAATTGAGTCGCGTTATTATTTTGTCTCGTTGGATAGAGGTACTGACGAAATACTCGATACATTTGATAAAGACGAGTTAAAAACACAATAATCTAAATTATCATCAATCTATAACAATACGAAACTCTAAACAAACATTCAAAACCGAATATAACCAACATTTAAATGAAATGAAAAAAAAAAAACAACACATTCATCATTTTCACTTTCATCCCCAACAAAAAACAAAAAGCTCTTAAATCAGCGAAAAAAAAAAGAAAAAATCCCCATCAATCGTTTCAAACAGGGGGAGAGTTTAGCATTCAACTAAAACGATTTACAAAATGCAAAATCGTTAAGAGTAGGGGCAAGGTGGGGAAGGGACCTGGGTGTCTTCAAGGCCCGAGTGAATAGGTTGCTTATGGGACGACGTGCTACATCGTAGACCGCGTCATCGTGCACCACCAGCCGAGATAGTGGACGCACTAAACCAGCTTGGAATAGTGGACTTTGCGCCAATGTTTTTCCAATTTTCGTACGAAATTACTATATAACCTAAAGTAGGTATATGCTAAGCATATGTTGCCCAGGCTTACTAGGTATAAGTACGGCAAAAAAGTGTCATTAAATTCCTTCCATGTGCAAAAAAAAACGTACAAACACGTTTTCTTTTCTTTCTATTACAAAACTGTAAACATAGGTTGATATGGAAATCCATATTAATCTATTATTTACTCAAATCAAATAAAAAAAAATAAAAAATCTCAGTTCTCAGTAGTAGCACGGAGTCTGGAAATGTACCCGGGATGCATATGACAATAGGCTCACCCCCTATTACATGGGACTCATAACATAAATTGTGGAATGTGGGTGTTATATTTGTACAGACAGTGGCATTTAGTGCCGTAATGTGCATCTCTGCTTACCCCCCTACGGGGATAAAAGGCGTGATGTTATGTTAGCTGTTGCCTGTCACTCTATCCGCGTAGAATATGTAACTTTTTTGTTTCAATTTTCCAAAATAAAAGTGGCCTATGTTACTCCTAAGTACATCAGCTACCTGCGAATATAAGTCTTGCAGAATCGGGCCAGCCATTCCAGAGATAAACCAGTACAAACAGACAGACAGACGAAAATTGTAAAAAAATGTGATTTTGATATGTGTATCGTATTCATATGCAGGTAGTAAAAGCGGTTATTTTAATATTACAAACAGATACTCCAATTTTGTTTATCTATATAGATAGATTGATATAAAGACTTACCATAGAGACGGGTAGGGGATGCGCCCCCCCATTAGGGTAAGGGTACGGCGCCATAAGGTAACCCATGTTGAATCCCGTTGCTGGATGCGGCTCGAATTTACCTGCAATGAGATAATATTTGTTATGAACGTGTAACTAGTTGGTTGAGTGGGGTGAGAGCACGACTGTCGAATGTAGGATCTCGGGTTAGGTTATTGGTTATTGTAAATATATGACAAAGTAAACTAAGTTATAATAGGGTAGATGCCTAATTTTAATGTCCGTCTGGTACATTATTTTAAATCATTAGACACGTATTTTTTATTTATTTTCTTACAGAAACTAATACTTTCGACGATATAGTAATTTGAAATGTCGCGTGACGTCACTTCTATGTACATTTTATACGTAGAAATGACGTTTTAGCCCCCACTCCTAAGTTTGATTCGTTTCATCTAAGGATTATTTTATTATACTGCCTCATTGGCCGACTAGCAAGGGGGTCTCGGGTTCGATTCCCGGGTCGGGCAAAGTATTACTGGGTTTTTAAAAAAATCTCAATACGGAGTCTGGAAATGTGCCCGGTATATGGCAATAGGCTCACCCCCTATTACATGGGACTCATAACATAAATAGTGAAAAGTGGGTGTTACATTGTACAGTGGCATTAAGTGCCGCAATGTGCACCTCTGCTTACCCCTTCGGGGAGTTCGGGGATAAAAGGCGTGATGTTATGTTATGTGTTTTATTATACGACAAAATAAAAAAATACGTGTCTAATATTTTTTTATTACTTAACTTACGGACTAATTAGATTTTTAATTTTCATACCATGTCATCATCCCAATTAAGTCGCATTTTGTAAACTCCTTCTAACTACAAAAGTAAGTTCGATTAAGTGTCTAAGTACTAGTTGCTGGAATTTCGTTACAGATAGGTATGTTATAGTTATGAATTTCGAATTATTTTTAACAATCCCTGAACATTTCGAAAAGGTTTTAACTCGTCAAGTACCGGTTTTGTAGACACAATTATAGAACAATAGGTTGCGGTCACCGGTAACCGCTTGGTGTTTGACAGTTTAAACATATAGAACCTAGATTTTTCTGTTAATCTACCTATCAAAGCAAGCAAAAGGTGCGTGCTAAGGTAACCTGTGCTTATCTCTGCGGTGTAAGTCGTAATCATATAATACTTCAATTACGACATTTCCTGGAAACACTATAAACGGTCTAGTGGTTTTGATATAAAACTAATGTAGCCATTTCCCTTGGCCGCCATTTTTATACTGACACTTAATTATATTATTAAACGTAATAATTCATTGTTTACCTAGTCCAACTAATTGGTTGAAGTTTTACTAGTTAGACTAGTCTCAATTATAATCCTAAGGTTCTTACGTCTATGACCATTTCAAGTAATATCAATAAAAGTTCAAAATCACTCAGAAAGCGTAAGTACAGTCAGACACAAAACCCAGCGCTAGACGGCGCGCGGGGCGTGGCAGACGAACAAATTACACCACGACGAGAAGTAATTTACTAACGTAATTGCGCGCGCAGACGCCTAGTGACGTTGCTACACTCGATAGGAGCTTGATTTGGCAGCCAAATCTTTTTGCTAACTCTTCAGATATCCTTATAGATGTAGCGCCACTTTTGGCACATTAGAACTATTATTTTATCCACAGAAAATTGCTAAGACATCGTTAAATTAAAATTTTCGTAGAATAAAATCGGTAAACACAGCCAATAAAGCAATTGCAATAAATATCTACACGGATACTGCAGCAAAAATATAATTGATTGCAAAATGTGCAAACGATTTGTTAAATTCAAAGACCTTTAATTACAAACACAACACGTTTATCAGTTAAAGAAAAAAGTGCTTAAAAACGCTTAAAAATGTGGAATCCAAACAAGAATTCTCGTTAGACATAAATGAAATTCAAAGAATCCCCATAATGGTCAACGAACATCGTTCTAACACCGCAGTGTTTACAATTTACTATATTAAAACAATTATGCGAGCAATCAAAATTTTATTACTTTCATCATTGTGACTTGTATTTTCAACTGACTGTACTTTATGTTCTTTCATAGTCTATGTCCGTATTCTATAACATGGTAGTATTATGTATGAAGGTGTAAATTGTTATAAAACCTTATTTCAAAGATTACCAAGGTTCAAATAATCTATGGTTTTATAGACAGATAGGTCCATATAATCCACGGTATTGTTTTGTTTTATGTGTTGTAGTTATACTGTCACCTTCTTATAGGTTTTTGATAGGCGTATAAATCAATCATTGTCTTTAATGACAGTTTTTAAGCAAGATTTTTAATGGGACTGTGCTTGGAAGATTTTTGTTAGCCCTATTTGGGGTTCTGTGTCTAAAGGGCTACGGCTTCGATATCTGTCCTTAAGATTTTGTAAAATTAAGAGTAGGGTTTTCAAATACGCTAGTGACTATAGTAAGTCCTCATATACATGTGAGGAGATGCCTTTCTCAATAAATGCATTATCCAAAATAAAAAGAGTTATACAAATCGTATTAGTAGTTTCGAGATTAGTGCATTGACACAAACAGACACTTTTCAGGTTTATGTAATATAAGTTTATGTCAATCCCATACTTGGCTCTTATAGAAATGTTTTTTAACAGTTTTAGGTCAAGTGTTTCTTTTAATCGATGAATGACAGATCACCTGATGGTAAGCGATCAGCGACGCCCATTGCCACCCACAGCACCAGAGGAGTCACAGGTGGTTTCTAAGAATATATAGACCACTACCACTGACAAACGGTGAAGGAAAACGTCGTGAGGAAACCTGGACTCTTATAATTAGTTATTATCAACTTGAAATCGTTAACCTGCATTGAGCAAGTGTGGTGATTAATGCTCAAACCGAGCGAGAAGAGGCCATTGGTCAGTCAGCAGTGGACATTTATAGGCTGTTGATGATGAGTAATTATAGAAGCTTATCTCTGATTAAAATAGGACACATACATACATCCTTACTATCCTTACTAATATATCCTTATCCTTATTATTATACTATTATAAATGGGAAAGTGAGTTTGTTTGTTTGTTCCGACTTCACGCCGTAACTACTAAACCGATTGCATTGAATTTATGCAGACGTAAAGTTAGTAGTCTGGATTAAATAATAGGGTACTTTTTATCCCGGAAAAATTTAATATTCTCGAGGGAAAACGAAATTATTGGTATAGATGGCACTGTGTGTATTGGTATATGTCATATAGGCTACTTTTTATCCTTTTGTGACGCGAGCGAAGCCGCGGGTAAAAGCTAGTATATACATATAATAAAATCGTCCAAGTGATTATAGATTTAGTTGACTGGTTTTTATATCTTTTTTAATGACAGCGTTATATATAATAAAGAATCTATTAAAGTTCTTTTGATGAATATCTTAAAGTTCATTTGCTGTTCCTTATGTTTCCGTTGAGCTTGTTTGTCTGCGTTAGTCTATGAAACAAGAAGACTTATTTGTATGCGATTTTTTTTAGATATATGTTAGTATTTGCTATGTAAAAATGTGCTATGATCATTTAATAACGGAAGTCAGAGAAAGATATACTATATCTTTATTATTATTTAGTCTTTTAGCCTTAAGACTACTTAAGGCTACTTAAGACTACAATAAGACTAAATAATAGTCTTTAGTGTTATAAGTTTGTACGGACTCATCTCGAAAACTGCTACGCATATTTTAAAACCCTTTTGCATTAAATAGATCATATATAACTATAGTTAGGATTATAAATAATATAGGCATCTTACTGCTTAATCCCCAAGCGGTGACCGCTCTCCACTAACTCAATTATAGACCTTACTTCCGATGTTTAGAGACTACTTTTGTATGGACAAATTTAGTGTATGATATTTCAACAGGGTAAAATATGGTTTTTAAATAACATGCCCACATCTCTAGTAATTCTAATTTTGAGTACTAAAGTACTAGTTATTGAATAGCGTAACACATAAAATCGAATCTAGGCCCCTAGAAGCCATTATAACTGCACTAATGTTATAGCGTTAATAACTGTGAGCTAAATAGCACTCTAAATTGCTTAGCTTATGGTATTATATCGTTTAATACATAAATACGTAAACTGTCTCGTTCGTTGAGTTGGTTATATGTATAGGTTCGATTGTTGGGTTGGTGAAATATTATTTGGTTTGCACTTGTGTAACAGGAATTTAAAATATAGATCTACAGGAAAATGTTGACTGGACATAAATCCGAATTCCCAATGACAATATTTTAGTCGACTCAAGAATTGAACCCAATACCAATAGTTCGGTAGTTACACCTGTGATAACTGAAATTTTAAACTGGTATTTAAGTGTAATCTTAGCTTAATATTTAAATGTTTAATAAAGTAATTTATTCAGAATAAGGCTGCGCACACGCATTTTCAATTTTAAAGCAATTCAGTTAGTAGCGTGTATTACACTGACGTGCTAGTTACTGGCGCCAGTAACAAAACTAATAAACACTCTGTTTTACTGATAATATTCACTTATAGTTGAAAAACGTCTGGAATCTTATCAAGGAGGATTTATGCTTAATTCCCATTTATTCATTTTTATGTATTTTTTATTTTTGATTGGCCAACGTTTGACCACTCTATCTAGCCTGGTACTAAGCGATAATGCGGTCTATGATGGAACACGTCGTCCCATAAGCAACCTATTCACTCGGGTCTTGAAGACGCACGAGTTATAGGTACCCTTCAAGAAATACAGACTCTGGCAAAGAATTCCACTCCTTAGCAGTACGCACAAGGAAGCTTGATGCGAAGCGCTTCGTGCATGTGGGTGGGACATCTACCATGATACCATGAATCGGGATGATTGAATTAGGACACATAACCATAACGTAACTAGTCAAAAGTAAATTTTATACACTTCTATCCACTTCTTCGAGCATTAATAGGCTTGACGTTATTTGTATATTATATTTCTTTTTTTTTAATGAATATGAGGCAAACGAGCAGACTGATCACCTAATAGTAAGCTTTCAGCGCCGCCCATAGACACCCGCAACACCATAGGAGTAATAGGTGCGTTGCCGGCATTTTAAAAAGGAATA